ATACGAGAGGGTTCTCCCGACGACGATGATTCGCAGAGGAGAGTGGGAATGCCAAAACAAACCTAAGAGTCATCAAAGTTCCGAACAAGGTTGTCTACAAAATCGAGGTGGATGGGATTTTCAGAAGAAAACGCCGTCATTGCACAAGGAAAAAGGAAAGTTGTAGATCTGATCATTCATCGTCATGTGCCACTACTGCCCCCATTTATGAAGGTTGCACTGCTTCGCTTACTGTTGCTGCTCAGTTTTCTCCAACTAACGCTCTACGTGCTGCCCAAATGAAGAAACGTTATGCACATCTCATTTTCAAAGCAAATCATCATCTTCTAAATCAGGGAGTTAATTATAATGCTGACCCACTAAAGCAACAACAAGAAAGAGAGACGTTGTAGATTGCAGAGAAAGTCATGATTGAAGAAGTAATCAAAGCTGCCCAAACACTTCTACGAATGAGGGTAGAGGCAAAGCTCAAAATCCAGAGAGAAGCTGCCAGAATCTCATTGTAAAAGATGAAAAAAGACCGTTGAATTCAATGATGCTCTACAGATAATGAGAGATTATGAGAGTTTGTTGAATATTGTTTGTTAGAAACTATATTAATTTTTTACCCCATGAACAAATTTTTTGCTTTGGCCACTACTCACTCCCTGTAAACATGCATGCCTATCTTGGTCTTGAAGCCTATGTTATTTCTCATAATCATTAGTTGCTTAGGGTATATATCTCATTTGGTTCCTTAGGGTATATATATAATAAAAAAAAAAAAAAACATTTTTATCTTACATACTGTTTTTCTATGTGTATAAATCCCAATTTTTTATTTTATTTATTTATTTTTTTCGCATTCTTGATTGTGTTATATTCAGGGGCGGAGCTACAGTAGGGACAGTGGGAGCACATGCCCCTTCCCCCACCCCATATATAACCCTTATATGTGTGTGTATGTGTGTGCGCGCGCGTACAGGTTTTAATATAAGAAAAAAAACATATGATGTTAATATGAAATAAGCTAGACTGGATGGCAAAGCACGCGTGTAATTCTAAGTAATGTTAGGGGTTTGAATCTTGGCTTCCGTGTAGTGTTGTATTTGGGCTTTTCACTATATCGGATCAGAGTTTATGACTTTTTTAATATTAATTAATGGTGAGATTTTCATACACACACACATATATATAATATTCTTTTATATCACTAATGAGATGTGTAATTTATAATATGTTTTCTATTCCAATTATTTTATCAAATTAATTATGTTTCATAATATGTTATGAATATTTTTATAAAGTTTTGATGTGTTTTATTTTTCGCCTATATCCAACAATATTTATGGCTATACTTTTAAGTGTTTCATTTTTTTTTCAAACTATCTCTTTTGTTTTAATGTTTCGCCCCCCGTGAAAAAAATTTCTGCCTCCGCCCCTGATTCTATTGAAATGTAGATTTGTTTTTCTACTTCCACGGCTGGATATTATGGAATTTCCAACCACCTGAAAGTGATCTTAAATCAAGTCGAAAGCCTTGTTCCGACCACTTTTGGTATCCGGAAAAACCTTTGTTGCTGTTTCCGACTACTTTTTGCTTTCAACTTGATTTAAGATCACTTTCAGATAGTCGGAAATTCCATAATTTCCAGTAGTGAATTCCCATTTTAGTTTTTTTACTTATATGTCGGATGATGTATACTGTATTTGAAAATATAATCATTTACACTGGTAGGGCATATGATGAAATCTTTTTTTTGTTACCTAAACTGATCTGTTTGACACCTGCTTATAATTAATTACAAAGAAACTAAAACTTTGGTAATGTTGTCCTGTAGTTTAAATTTTGCTATAGGTCTTTTTTCATGATATCCAATACATGGTGTATCTCTTCTTTCAAAAGCACTTAACACCAACAATTACAATTGTCATGTAAACCCATTCGAGAAAGAGCATAACATACATAACTATATACGGAAACGTGGTAATTCTAAGAATAGGCATGAGAATTTGAAGTCATATGTTATCTCAAGCATGATTTAGACTTTAGCTGTAGTGGTATAAATTCCATTCCCTTGTTTATCTACACAACTATTCATGTTCTCATTCTCACAAATTTGAGGGGGTGTATTCAATCCTGACTTTTGTAGACTTTTAAAATGATATATTTTAGTAATAAACTTTGATTTGACTTTTTTAAAGTCGTCGTTCAAAACTTTTTAGAACTTTGTAAGACTTTATAAAAGTCTCGCTCTGTTTGGCAGAGCTTATAGCTTATTTTAAACTACTAATAAGCTATAAGCTCCGTTTGATAATGTTCTCAAAATAAGCTCATAGTTTCCTATTTTTTTTTTCATATTTATCCTTATTATTTAAAGAAATGACATAATTTACCCTTCCCAATTAAAACTTTTTTCTCTCCTCCTTTATCCGCAACTTTCACCGCGAATATTATTATTATTATTATTATTATTATTATTATTGTTGTTGTTGTTGTTGTTGTTGTTGTTGTTGTTATTATTATTATTATTGTTATTATTATTATTATAGTTATTACTATTATTATTATTATTATTATTATTATTGTTATTATTATTATTATTATTGTTGTTATTATTGTTGTTATTATTATTGTTGTTATTATTATTGTTGTTATTCTGTTGTTGTTATTATTATTGTTGTTATTATTATTGTTGTTATTCTGTTGTTGTTATTATTATTGTTGTTATTATTATTGTTGTTATTGTTATTGTTATTATTGTTATTGTTATTATTATTATTATTATTATTATTATTATTATTATTATTATTATTATTATTATTATTATTATTATTATTATTATTATTATATTTGCAACAATATTGCTACTTCATTATGAGATGCTAGATCAATGATTATGCTAATAGTTTTATTTCAAAATGTTAATTTTTTTTAAAGAGAAAATGTTAAATTTTAATATGTAAACAAATCAATTTATATTTTATGAAGATGTCCTTTTAGTCTTTTTACATTTATCAGCTTATTAAAAAGCTAATTTTATCAACACTTTCAATCATAACAGCTAGCTTAACAGCTCTTCAGTTTTCAGCTCTGAGCTTATAGCTTTTCAGCTTTCAACTCCTAACTTATAGCTTTTCAGCAGGGTTTGCCAAACTGAGAGCCTATGTAAAAAACATTCATAAACTTTTATCAACTTTTTATTTTAAAAAGTCTACAAAAGTCATTGAAATTTTAAATTGAATTCATCCTTACAAACTTTCAATGATTTTGATTCTTATCATTTATAATATATCATTCATTCTTCTTATTATCATTTATCTAATTAAAGTCTTTATTTTTTGTTCAAATAGTTAACATCATCCCATTGCTTAACTCTAAACATCATTTTAAAGTCAACACCTTGTGGTCTAGTGGCACCAAGTTGTACTCACATATGGGAGGTTGTGAGTTTGAGCCTCAGTGGAGGTAGGTATTGACTCCAACCCCAAGGCCCCCACATTCCGATTTGACAGAGCATTTGTAAATCACGTGACTCGATGGTTCAACATACAGAGCCAAATGCCGGAGCACACAATGGATCTACTCACTTTAGGCATAATCCCCATACTGCCGCCGCCGAACCATTGAGCTAAGCCAGTGCGGACTATTTGGTATTTAATTTGAAAATAAAACACGAGGTTACAAAATTAAACACATATAAATTGAAATTAATCAACATTAACTCATGAATCTATCAAGTATTAATTCATTTAAGAGGTTTCTTTAAAAAAAAAAAAAAATTACTTCTTGTAATCAGGATCCATGTGCACACGATTCAAGCATACAAAACTCATTTTGAATATGTGCATGGGTAAGAGAGAGTCTTTTAACGAACAATATATTTCATAATCTTTAGAATATAAAAATTTATACTATATTTTTACAATGTAAAGCACAAATTTCTTTAAAGCATTTTGAAGTTTCTTTTTTTTTTTTTTTTTTAACTTCATGAATAGACTTTGAGAATTAAAAATTCTCATTTATAACGTTGTATTACGCAGCCCTACTTTAGAACCTTCCGATTAGCCTCCAAAATTACCCCACATGTGAAAGGCATAACGGCTTTGACAAGAGTAGTAGCAGCTGATTCCCAGCACCCAATCGCACTTGGGGCTTTATGCAGCTGTTTATGTCGGTTATACCATTAATTGTATCAAATATATAGCAATCGAATATATACTTAGCGTGTGAACAAAAACATTTTTTTAATTAAAAAAACTTTTGGGTGCCAAACGTGTGATGTGAGTGTAATCCATTACTCAGTATTCCTTCCCCCTTCATCACCACTCGAAATTGGAACTTTATTCCCTCAATAAATAAATGAATAATTGTCAACCCCATAATATCGTATTTAATTTGGTATTCTAGCTAGTTTTATTATTTGTCATAATTGCCATTGTTATTTAGAGTTTATTATTCCTTCCGCTTCCATTCTATGTATGTGCTTTTCTTAATGGGGTTTAATTTAAGATTATATATGTCCATGACCTTGTGGTCTAGTGGCTCGTATTAACTATTTGTGCTTCGGTAGATTGAGAAAGTAGTTAGGATCGAACACAGATACAAAAATTACATTATATTGTAACAAAGTCAGTAGTACTAAAAGAAAAACTTAAGGTTATTTATAATTTGTAAAAATTAGTTTAATGTGTACTCAATTGTTATCATTGTAACTTTTTTTAAAAAAATAAAAATCTTTTTCATGCTACATTAGTACCTTAAGGGAATAAAGAATAAGTTTAACTTAAACATTTACCCAGTGCACACCTTTAAATAATGGATGCGGGTTTTCCTCGTCACCCAAAAAACATTAATAAAAACAAGGCTTGGTCATGTTAGGTACAATTGCGGCAACTTTTTCATGAGTATTTTTGCATACATATAATAAAGTTGTGAATTTTTAACTTCATATTCAAGTAACTTAGGTGAACAAAAACCTTTCTCTCTCTATATATATGGGGACTTGGCCAAGCAAAGTATTCAAAATTCTATTCATTATTTCCACACATTCATTCTTTATACATTACATTAGCAGAGATTTTCTTCTACTCCGCTCAAAATGAGTTCAACCAATCCCCACTCCGACGGAAACCCTGATTTAATCAAGTACGGAAAGGTAAAGTGGAGTTAATTAACATTCACCCTATTATCTTTCATTGTATTATAAACCCTAATCTCTTCCCTTTCATGAATCCATGGTTGATTATATTGCAGGACACAAATGGAAAGGATGACGTCTCAGTTCCTCCTGGTGCTCTTAGTATTATCTGGGGAAATGATCAGCGTTACTGGAAAAATATAGGCGATCTCACAAAAAACCCGTAAGTATATACAGATTAATATAAATCTTTATATCATGTTAGGAATGGCAACTATCATGTTAGGAATGACAACGGGACTGAGAATATACAGGGGCATTTTCCCCGTCCCGACCCTGATTTTCCTCCCATTGTTTTGCCTCAACCGGATTACCCGGACAAGATTTTCTTCTTTCAAATACTGCATACTGAACCAGTGAGATAACGGGCTATCTGGGCAAGATTTTGAATTGGGTTGTTGTTGATTTGAGCAGGGATAGTGCGGTAGCAGAGCTAATACAAGTATGCTGGCTAGAAGTGACCGGTTCAATCAAGCTTAAACCGGAGATGAAAGAGAAGACGTACGAGGTTGGGTTCGAAGTGTCGTTGACGCCGGACGCTTTCGGGTGGAGCAACTCGCCGGTGTACATTATGGGGAAAAGAAGGGAAAAGCCTATATGGAGAAAGATGAACTTAGCGAATAACAAAGGAGGAATATTCAACATCCCGGAAACGCCGTTGATCGTCGCGCCGCCGGGGGACGGCGGTTCCGACAACGACAAGGTTTACTTCGGGCTGTACGAGGTTTGGTCTGGGAGGTGGAAAGGTGGACTTAAGATTCACAAGGCATTTGTCAGGGAACTTTAATTTCTGGTAAATAAATTCCAATTTCATCTTAAATTCTTTTAAGATTAAAAAAATCATGGATGTATTTGATTGCCCATTGTGCTGTGTTGCAATAAGGTGAAATCTTTGATTGTCTCATGAATTTTCCCTTCGGATTTTGAGTGAATAATGATACTTATACTTTCTTAAACATATGTATACTCGTCACATAATATGTATTGAATTTTTCCTTATATCTGCTTCTTGTTGGCTGACAAACCACTCAAGCCCATAATTATATTAGGATACACCTATATTTCTATAATACTTTTTCACTTTTAAAATAAATCTTATTTTCATATGTTAATATTTATAAATTCATTACCATTCTAACTATTTTCAAAATATAATATAATAATATTTAAATTTTTTTTATTGATAAAAAAGGGACAAAAGCTGCCATAAAATTGACAAAATTAAATTTGCAAGACTTGCTTGCTAATGTTGTCATTCTAATATTCCCGATATATTAGCTTTAAAAAGACAAAAAGAATAATGTGAAATGCGATGACTCGATTTACAATTGACATCATCAATTTCTAGTATGCCGCCGCCTTAAACGTGCACAACGAAAAGCTTGCAATTGCATTTGGGCTCATTGGTGCACTAGATCAGAGGGAAACTCCATTGCTACCATTTAAATTAGGGAAAAAGATCAAATATACCACCAAATTATTAGTGTTTATTTAATTAGGTCATCGAACAAAAAAATATACAATTAAATCATTTGATTTTATAAATTTGTCCAGATAACATTTCAGCAGGTTACTTTTAAGTTAAACAGGTAAAATGAATGACATTTTATGTTTGTAATTTTTAAAATTTAAATCAATTTATTATGAGTTAAATATTCAACTCTATCCAAACACATTTTCATTCTTCTTCATCGACAACCTCTCTACAATACAGTCAAGACAACTTGCAATCGTGCACTCACATTGACAGATGAGTCTCACTCCCCTCTCTCTCACTTCGTTGCATTCTGCAAACGTCGGTCTCTTCTCTTCTTACATTTAAGGTTCAACATAAGAGATGCTTGTGATTTTGTACTCCCCGATAGCCTTGGACTTTGATTGGATGGATTAGTGATCTCCAACCCAAAATATTAAATTTTACACCAAAATGAATATTATCAGCATATTTTTACACTAAATTTTTTTCATCAACAACCCATTTACACCAAATTTTATTTCATCTCCAATCCATTTATACAAAATACTAATCATACACTAAAATAAATTGTAATCTTATAACTTAAAACTTTAATTTTGTTTACTTTAATTATTTTAATATAAAATATAATTTTGAATTAATAATAATCTTTTAAAATGAAATTTATGTTTTTATGTATTTTTTAAATTATTTTATAGTCGCTATTGATCTCGTTTTAAACGTCTCAATGAAAACTTTAAATCTTTATAATTTATTTTTAATAATATAAAATTAAAAAAAAAAAAAAAACAATTAGCAAAAAAATTTTAAAAAGTTCTACACCAAAATAGTGTAAACGAATAGTGTTACACTAGATTTGGTGTAACACTATTCATTTACACCATTTTGGTGTACAATTTGATGTCTTCCTTGTATGAAGGTTGTACTAAATTTTTACACTAAAATGGTGTTTTGGTGCCTTATTTGGAGATGGCCTATTGTGTCTCCTTGTTATATTTTTACGCGGTTTGGGTGTATGATATGATAGTGGTTTCTTTCTTTTGGTATGATGAATGTGGAGAAGCAATAGCAGTAGAAGTGATTGATGGTGAAACTAAGGATAGCACACTAAATGCTAAAAATGCTCAAATTTATAAAGTTAAATGATTTAATTACACACTTTTTTTTGTTCCCCATTACACCAAACACTAATAATTCAATGGCCTATTTCACTTTTTTTTTTTTATATAAATATAATGGTAACTTTCTTTATTTTTGACATATTATATTAGTATTCATATCCATAAGGAACCAAGGCTACACAATAGAGTAGCGATCTTAAGCCGCCTTTGCCCTGATAACAACATTTTTAATGACTAAACCCCTCTTCCAAATACTACCTTCATATTCGTAAATAGAGAACTCAATCTCTCCATTCTTTGCCATGGACCGCATATCAAACTCTCCTGCCTGGATTTCTATCCATTTCCCTCTTGCCTTTTCCATTAGATTTTCTTTACGCTCCTGTCGGCTGCCGTCCGGCAGAATGAGCCTCAGGTTCACCGGAATATGCCATCCATATGCCGGATCTTTCAGCATCACTACAAATATGACCTCATATGTTGTTTCCGGCGAAAGTTTAGATACATCAAATCTTCCATGGATTTCTAGCCAGCAAACGTTAAGCAGTTCTGCCACTGGAACACTGATTTCACTGAAATTTAAAGCAGTAAAACATTAGCCGGTATTTGATTCAAGTTATATAAGATAACTAAGATTATATTTGTTTTTGAAACAAAAATTCTCATAGCTTATAGTTCAAGTTATGTAATTTTTCTAAGGAATGTAACTTAACCTCTTAATAAATTTTTTAGCTTAGTCTTCCCTTTCTCAGGTATTCTTATATTCCCTTACTTTTTACTAATTTTTACTCCGTATAATTTTAACTCATTAAATTTTCTCCGACCTATAGACACATACAATGTTCCTCAAGCTTAAACTCTTTTTTAATTATTTATTCTATATTTTACCATTGCCTTATTTATTTATTTTAATTTTGAAATTTATAATCATTATAAGATAAAAAATAATAATTCTTCAACCAAACAAATTTATATTACATACCTCAATTTTAACTAAATACGGGAATCTAACATTTCCTAAAAATATAATATAACATTAAGTGAACCAAATTCCAATAGTTTTGTAGTTAGACCTTTGACGTGTATGTATAAATAAGTGAAGACTAATATGATCTATCCATTTGAATATACCAACAAATGAAGGTTGCTAAAAAAAAAATAAGAGGTAAATAGGCGGTGATAGTATTATAAATATTGCAAACTGAAAAATTTTCAATAATTATAAATTTGACCATATATATATTTTTTTTTACTGAAATCCTCAATCATTTATAATGAACAGTTGAGATTCATTCTCACTTTTTATAAAAGATTGCACACACACACACACACATTATAACCCTTTTTTTTTTTACTGAAATCCTCAATCATTTATAATGGACAGTTGAGATTAATTCTCACTTTTTACAAAAGATTGCATGCGCGCGCGCACACACAGTATAGAAAGTACGAATCTATAGTATAAAAATTATGAATCTAAATCCGTGTGCAACATGCATGGTGCACACGGTTGCACAATATAATTTGCCATCTCTCTCATATGTTTTCAAATTAGTTTCAAGTGTATATATTATTATAATCACTCCACCACTTATTATTATTATTATTATTATTATTATTATTATTATTATATAACAAATAATATTTTTATCAAAAAAAAAAAAAAAAAAAGGTAAACACTAAAAAAAATAAAATATTTATTGTAAAATTCTCGAAAACATTTTCCAAGTCTCCGTGGAAGCTTAGTTTTATTAAATTTATCTCAAATATTTATTAAATTTGTTTTAACTCAGACAAACTTCTCATCTTCCGTGGAGGAAGTCCTTTCCTCGGGATATATATATAACTTAATAGTCAAAAGGTTGAATGTGAAATATAGTGACCCAACAAATAATCAAACATAAATACTAGGATCTCTTCTAAAAACAAAAAAAAAAAACAAAAAAAAAATTATGATTTATCTCATCTTACAATCACCATAAAAGGTGAGGGACTCTCAAATTTAGAGGTTAAACGTATAGAGGAAGCCCGGTTCGATCAAGACCGGGCCAAACTCAGTACCGAATAAGGAAGGCAATCGATGAGATGAGAGCATGAAAAATAAGGCAATTTCATGTTTACCTGGATTCTTGGTGCATCGGCCAATGCCAGTAACGTTTGTCTTCTCCCCAAGTAATAGATACATCTCTGGCAAACAATATGAAACAATTCTTTCTCCACCTTCTATCCACCCAGTACTTCTGCGTATACCAGTGCAGCAGTATTAAAGGTAGAATATATCCAGGTTTTATATCCATCATTACAAGAAAAAAACAAAAGTAAAGTAAAATAAAATCTGATCTGAAGCATCATATCGCATGCATATCACACTTACTTTCTTCTTTTGATCCAAGAAAACTCCAGCATACAACTGCTCAAACAGCTTCTCTTTGGAGGATCGATCAACAAAGTCGTCTGCGTCTCTCAGAATTGCCTCATAATTGTGGGGGAAACCATCATCATCATCATCATCATCATCATCATCCACTTCTGTGTTGCTCTTCCTTCCTCCTTCATCACCCATACTTCTTCTGCTTTCTTCCATATCTGTTGAATACCCTGACCCCATCTTTTTCTCCTCTTCTTTCCCAGTATCCCACTAGCTCTCCCAATTTTTCTTTTTTATAGGCGCCATTTCGTAAAGCAAGCTTCACAGTTTATAATAAACACATTATATATTAATAAAGTATGGTTTAATTTAGTTATAATATCACTACTTTTTCCTATAAAAAAAAAATAAAAAGTATTGAGAAAGCGCGCGCATATATATATATATATATGTGTGTGTGTGTGTGAGAATCAAATCACAGCTATAAAAACTGCAGACTGATCTCAACCATTGATGTTTTCAATATCAATGACTTTAATCAAGGAAATTTGTTTTTTAAAAAAAGCCTGCGACATTTAATTTGGTAAATATTATAAATTTGAAGTGTATATTGATCAACACTATAAAATGCAATGATCAATAAATAAAAGTGCACTTAGTGATGGCCCATGCGCAAGGATGATACGTACAAATCGAGAAATGGTTTAAATTTTTAAGGACCACTACAGTGACACCAAGTTACTCCCTTAAATGGGAGGTTGTGCGATCGAGCCTAAGTGAAGCAAATTGACTCTTTGTGCTTCAATTGGTGAAGAAAGTAATTATATATGAATAGATACTGTATTGTCATAGAATCAGTAGTATTCAAAAAAAGTGCACCTAGTGATGGTGCACTTCAAAATTTGAAGCCCATCCGTCAATATTACAGAATGCACTCATCAACACTACAAATTAAATTTTAATGATCAATACTACAAAGTGTATTTCTCTTGAGTGCACTCCTATATACTATAACCTTTGATCTTCTTATCAGTCTGTATATATCTTTACAAAATTTAAGAGGGGATGCAAAAGAAATTTTTTTTTATAATCATTATTATAATAATATATATACATATCTAGACTAGATTAAAAACTTTGGAGTCGGGACAAGGATCCCCTATCCCCAAAGATACCTCTGCCCTTACTAAAAATATTTATCAACTACTCAAAGTGAGGGGCTCCTTGTGCGCAGTAAGCAAAGGTCGTACCCCTATGATTTATGTGTTCAGTTGAGTTATCATGATTTACATCTTCTCACATGCTTTGTCGGGCCGGAGTGTGAGGCCCTTAGGGTTGAGGTTCAACCTTTTAGAAAGAATATTTATCAACTAATTAATAATAAATTAATAATTAAGTCAAAATACTATAACAAATAACTATCATTTACTATAGTATTTATACTGAATAAAATGTCCAAAATATACAATATTACCTCACAGAACTTATACATCCAACAGTTTAGGGTATTAAATGACTAGAATTCTATTGTACTGTAGGCCTTGGGGATTACCAATCGTTTAAATCGTTATAGGGTAACACTATAAACGTCGTCGTATTTTCCTTCTTTGGAGAATTGGATTCTGCATTACCTTTTATTATGTTATTGGTGAATATTTATTGGCATAGTCATATTCCTTTTCTATTTTTTTATTTTTGTCAAAAAAAATAACTGGACCAGTCCATTTGCAAAAGGTAATACAGAATCCAATTCTACAAATTAAAGCAGAATTCCAGTCAGTTAATATGGTGGTCCAATTAAACTTGTGTATATATGCTTAGGAGAATATTTACAAAACGTGAAAGTATTCACCTTTAATAGTTCTTATACATCATAGATATAAAAAGTGAAGAAAAAACAATTGCAAGAATGACCGTCATTCTTTTCCATGGCAGCATAGACGAGGACAACTTCATGGTTGTAAGTTGTAAATGAAAATTTTTAACAAAAATGATATTTTAAGTGATTATTTTGTAGTATAAATATATATAAAGTCCATTTTTTATTTGAATCAAAGTAAATTCAGTTTTTTTTTTTTTTTTTTTTTTTGTGTGAGACGAAAAATTAATATATATATTGTATACTGAAATAAAAAATTAATTCTCAAAGAGTCAAAGTAGACCGACACCCATTAGGTTCAAATTGAAAATGAAGGTGGAAAGGCTTGAAAATAGCTTGTCCCACATTGGAATGAGAAGTGGTTTGCACTAATATATATATATATACAATAATACAAGTCCATTTTAAAAAGAGCTTGAATTGTATAGATTAGATGCTCTCTTTCACAAAGTGTGATTTTGATTATTTATTTTTTTTAAAGTTGTCTTGATTTAAGAACTTCAAAACATTTTTGCTTTTCCTTCTTCCTATAGAAATTCTCTTCTTCAAAATTCTTCCTAAAACTTCAGATAAAACATCGAAGTGCTCACCGTTTATTCAAGTTCACTGAGAGTAATATAGCATGAGTGTTCAACTATATTACTGTAAGTCATTTCATCATAACAGACTGACGCGTGCTACAAGTATCCTATTACCCTCGGGAGGTAACAAATCAATTTTAAGGTTTGTCTTCATCCTTCTTTCTTTCGTTATGGTACGGTTTGGATTATTTTTCATAAAATGGACTTATTCACTCCTCCGATTTGGATTTTCCAAGCATAGCCGTCCATTGTGGGCAATCATGAAGGTCCAAGGACAACTCACTTTTTTTTCTTTCATTTTTAATTTTTATAAATTTTATTTTATTGAAGTAAATAAAATATTAAACAAATAAAAATAATACATATGACATCCATACAACCCCCTTGAAGCCACGTCCTCATAACCTACAATAACAAGTAATTTACAAGTAAAAATTGGGTCAATTGTATTTTTTTAATCCAAGAGTTAATACGGAGTATTAATACTTTTTCGGAAAATGTGTAAAATAAGCCCTAAACTTTATAAGATATCGAAGTCAATTCGATCCTAAACTTTTAAAAGTTGTAATTAAATTCGTTAACATGTTATAATTCTGCTAAGTACTGATATGCATTTGGAAACATCTCTTGTATAGTTTTCATTGCCAAGTCGAAATCTCGTTCTTTTACAGAACTACCTGCCTCCCAAACCAACAACTTCAGCCTCTTGTTCTGGAACTGTGTCATCACGTTACTTTGTAGATGACGAAGGCAACAATGACGATGGACGTGTTTCAATTTTGGTAGATTGTTGAATGCCGTGTCAATACCTCGATGTCTGGAAGACAAATTGGAAGTAATAAAAATTGTTTATTATTACCTTCTTCACAACTTTTAAAAAATTAGGAGTGAATAGAAGGAAATACTACATTTGCTTTCTTTTTAACATTTACACTTGAAAAGAAGGTATTGACACTTAAACTTTTACACAAAATTAGGTTTTGAATTTACACAATTTTGTCCAATTCTTGTCAAATCTACGCAAAAATACCTAATGCCGATTCCCCTTTCATTAAAACTGCAATGCGAATTGAGCTCAGGGAGGCGAAGGTTTAATTTATTTCCTTATGAACATGCATAAAAGTGGCTGGGATGATGAAATCTTGAGAGACATCTTTAATGAAGATGATAGAGCAAATTAAAGATCCTTAGCATTTCGGTACCCATTAAGGATCATGAAGATAAAATCATTTGGAGGAAGCACAAATTTAATAAGATGCCTTATTGGTTATTGGAGGAACTAGAAATATTGACAGCTGTACAAAAAGTCAATGCCCACTATAACCTCTTATTTAGAAGAGTTACAACTATGCCCGTTTGACAAATAAGGTTTTTTGACGTCATATTTATTGATATTCATGCAGTTATATATACGAGTACTAAAAAATTTTGTGGGAGAAGAGTAATAAAAATATAACATCTTGGGCCCAACTTCCCAATTAGCCCATTATTTAACAAAGCACTCATAATGTTTTTAACTTTATAGCCCTGTAGAAAATCATAGGCATGCAAATTATACTGTGGACCGCGGTCTACAATGTACTATGGTCCAGGCATTAAATATACATGTATTGTAGTTTTATTTCAACACAATTAAACTATTATTTTGATATAATTATAGGTAGACAATATACACTCAAATATGTGAAATTGTTATTCAGTTTCATTTTGTATACACTGCAGTTTCATTTCAACACAACTACATTTCATTTCAATTCAATTGCAGTTTCATTTGATAATATAATAAAAATAATACGTGAGACAATGTCAGTTTAGATACACTATTGTGTCTGTCGTTTTGGACCATGGTCCACAGTATAATTGCTGAAAATCAGACGCATTTTCTTTGTTTGTTTGTTTTTTTTTTTATATATATATAAAAAAAAATACAACATCCAGCGTTTCTTTACTAGTATAGGATTATTTCGAATTTAACCCGAATAGACGTACTCTTCTCTTTTGATGATGAAGATGATCACTAATTAATAAGGTTTAGATCACTCCTCCTTTTGTATGTTTTGATTCTCATTTGAAACATTTGAATTTAATTATAGTCATATTTAAGAGAATCAAACTGAAATTTATTTATTTTTTTTACAAAATATTTTTATATATTTGGTAAAAACAATTTCTTCGTTTTACAAAAAGCAAACTATTGGTGGATAAAGCGTTAGCATGCATGTTATGAATTACTACATGTCTACATGGCTAGTGTATATGCAGCTTGAATATATTCGAATTTATGAGTAATTAATATTGCATGCAAATTAAACTCTTACAATATGACTTGCATATCTTTATATCATATTATATGTGTATGTTTTTAGGCACATAAATTACAATATGTTTTATAAATTTCACATATAAACGCAACCAATCAAATTGATCACAAACACTCTTTTAGCATAGTGTGAATGACTTTATATTGTAAAATTAATTAAATATAGAAAAAAATAGATGAATTCATCATTTACCAAACATCTCATTTCCACCTTATCAAGATAAGTAAAATATGCCCACACGAGCTTAACTTAATAGTTCAGTAAGCAATATTTGGGAGAAGAGATCAAGGTTCGATTGTCCGCATGGGCAGCTCATCAGTTGGTCACAGGGGGTGATCGAATCTCACCAACGATAGTGTGAAGCAACCTCTCAAAGGAAGGGACTCCTTGTGCCCAATAAGCAAAGGTCTAGCATCTGTATTTAGTTGAGTTACCATGACTTACATACCTTTTGGGAATAAGAGACCGTCAGACCGGCAGTATGGAAATTATGTTCAAAATTAAACGAAGTTTGATGTTAATGATTGGGTATATGGTCAATAATTGTAGTGAGACATTTATAGGGTAG